GGGCTCCTCGGTGCCTGGAAGAGGTTTATCTGGCAGCAGAGATTTTCCGTGGATATATTGCCGATAAAATATTGAGTTCTCGAATATACCACTATCACTATGCCGCCCGTAACTACCGACATCTATGACGGTGAATTTGTAACATAGATCGACTATAGCAAGAAGAACTACAGAAAAAAACTTCTTGTAGCAAAAATATTCTGATCCACTATTTTTGGGACACTTTATAGAGACATGTTTCCCGTCAATACTACCGACACAATTCGGGAAGTTCCAGGTTTCCCTATAACCCTTTTCTGATTGTTTCCATGTCTCTTCAGTAGGCGATGGCATATATTCTGGTTGTAATGTATTCCAGATTTCTGTACAGACTTCTTTTACAATACCACCGACTGTTGAACGACCTACTCGGAAGGAGAAGGCTATGGTCTGATGTGAATCACCCGTACCTAAGTACCTGAAACAAAATAATACAATTTATGTTTATTTTACAGGTGAAGTAGCTAAAAAAAAAATGGAAGAGCTTGAGGGACAATTATATGAGATACAAAAAAGAGGTTGCAGGTACTACAGGACAAGCTGCAAAAAAATTTACAAAATGGCCTTGGGCTTCCCAGTTACAGTTCCTTGACTCAACTCTGACAGATCGAGAAACAACTTCAAATATTCGAGAACCTACACCAGAAACATCGTCAGCTATAGAAACTCAATCTCCAGAGACGCCCCAAACAAATGACACAAATAGTTCACGAGCTAAGAAAATAAAAAAAACTGACAGCGAAATGGATAAAGTTATAAATTTTCTTCAAAATAAAAAAAAAACAAGAGTATGATGCCATAGATTACCTATTCCAAAGTTATGCCCAAACATTTAAAAGTTTTTCCAAAGACAAACAGATAAAAGCCAAAGTAGAACTAGCCAAGTTATTTGCAAGCATAGAAACAGAGGAACTGCAAGAAAACGTCCAGATATTGAATTCACCACATTATTCCATTATTAGTACCGAAGACTCCGTCTGCTATGCTATACCCAATTCTGTGCCCGAAGATTCATCCCCAGTAGCTGTTATAGATTTATCTAACAGTACTTCATCATACCTGCAACAGCCTGAGCAGCTACGTCAACCACTACGCGAAATCGATATTTCAGAAGCATCGACATCTGATTACAACTCAGCTGATTTTGATTGATTTTCATAATAATAACGCAATGAACATGTATATAAAAAAATAAATATTTCTTACCTTAGACAGATTACAAGTCTTTCTCTTGTAGAAATAGGCGTCCTCCAGTTTGTGGTACATTTGCTTATTTTTGGGATGAGCAGTTCATGTAGTTCTTCGAATAAATCTTGAGATCTCGTACGAAAGTATGTAAAAAAACGAATTTCATGTGATGCAAGCTCACGACACAAACGATGATATTCTCCTAAATCCTTTCTCTTTTGATTGATGTCGTGCACCCATACTCTTTTTCTGTGACCGTGATAAAGCATATAAAAGTAATAATTCTTCCACATCTGAATCACTCGACATCTCCATAACGAACAAACTCTTCAAACTGCTAACGACCTGCACTACGCTTTGGCGAATGGCGAAATGGCGACGCCGTGTCATCGAGTCAGCGCCCTAACGCGCGCTAAAGCGTTCTGTTTGACGAAGCCTCGCGCGACGTTAAAACGGGACGCTATAACGCTACTACGCAGCGCTAAAATACGCGTCCTGTCTGACAAAGCCTTTAATGTTGTGTTTGAGTTTTACGTTTCAATTCAAAACCAGCATTTGTAAATCGTAGTTCATACAAGTTTTTTTTACTTTAAATAGAATCTTGTTCATAAGTATCGAGTACTTCAGAAAGTGTCGATATCTACTCAAGTATCGATAAAAGTGTATCGAGTACAAAATACTTGGTATTGAAATGAAAGTATCGATACTACTCAGGTATCGATACTTTTTGCGGATAATTTAATAAATTTGTTTTTACACTGCTTACTGCTTAAAACGAAACGCGAAACGACACCAACGGCCATTCATTTTGTTTAATAGCGTCCAGTCATCGTTTGTCGCCTGTTGCCCTTGCAGTTGAGATCGTTTCACGTACTCCTGTAAGCTTACAACGTTTGACTACCATGGCGTCACCGACGCCCCATGCTTCTGTCTGAAGAGTTGAGTGAAGTGCAAGTATTGGACTCAAATGAGCCGCTTGTCACGGCCTCCTATACTGCGCCGTCAAGTAGTGCGCGAGTGTTGGACTCAATAGAGCCGCTTGTGCCTACTACTGCGCAAGTGCAAGTGTTGGACTCAAATGAGCCACTTGTGCTCCTGTGTGTGCGATCCCCGGTCCTTGACGAACCGGTAGCTGGTCCTAGTGGGATGACTGGTCCCAGTGGAGCAGCTGGTTCTTGTGGTAGCCTATCAGCTATAGCTAGTTCTTCGGAGGACGAGGGCGAGAAATTTGCTGCTGCGATGCCCAGACTGTAGGTCATCTGGCGGAAGGCTTAATCCTTACTCGGATGAGTTAAGGTAAGTTTTGACTAATGTTATGATTACTGTACAATATCATTGTTATTTCAGGTCAGGTCAGGTTATAAAAGGGCGTATAGTTAGTCAGTTTTTTAATTTGCTTACTGGAATTTTAATAAAGTTTGATTGAATAAAGGCTGCAGTGAATTTTAAAATGAAATTTATAGCTAAAAAATGGAGAAAAATTTGTCCTGTTTTGACTTCACAATGCAATTTGTATATATTTTTATTTGTGGAGAACCAGCCCCCAAAAAGCAGCAATTATAATCTTTATAATACCTTTTTTTATTCAGATCCATGTGGAACTGGAGAAAAATCCTCTCCGAATTGGGTACACACGAACAGTGCGGAGGAGAGAGGATTCATCCTAGTAGACAAAATCTGCACATACCACCGGAAGTCAATGATTTTGAAAAAAAAATCAGGGCAAGTTGGAAAATTTAGATGCCGAAAAAGCAACTGCTACACCAAAACAGTCTCTCGTGCTATTGGAACCTGGTTTGAAAACGCACACTTGTCCCTCACTTTAATATTTAAAATTATGTATGCATTTAGTGAGGGACTGTCTTACCACCAAACGAGGAAGGAGCTAGCGTGTGATGACGGTCTAGTAGTTTCTGACAGAACCGTGGCTGACTGGTTCAGTTATTGCCGGGAAACAATTGCCATTTATGAACTAGAAAATCAAAGGGCCCCGAGGGAAGATAGGGGGCCCTAATAAAGTGGTTTAAATAGATGAATCTAAATTTGGAAAAAGGAAGTATAATCGTGGGAGACACATTGAAGGACATTGGGTGATTGGCATGATTGAAGATGGCAATGACGATCTGCGGCTTGAGGTGTGTCCTGATAATTAAAGGTCTGCGGACATATTGGCGCCACTCATAAAAAAACATGTCGAGGAAGGCTCCATCATTCACACAGATTATTGGAGAGCATATCTGAGCCTGGATATATTCATAAAAGAGTAAATCATAGCGACCCAACTGAGAAATTTGTGGCACCGGACGGGACACACACGCAGCGCATTGAGAGCCAGTGGAGAGGATTAAAAAAACAATTTAGACAACACCAAAACAAGCATAATTTTACGGATGAAGAGCTGATAAGTGCAATTAAATATGTATATAAAATTGAATAAAGTTTACTCTATTTTAATTCCACCTTAGTACTTGTATTTCATTGTTTGCAACTTGTTTGTATTTCCTAATTAGTACAGCTTTTGTACTTGTATTTCATTGTTTGCAACTTTCTGTATTATCTAATTCTTACTACAATAAAGTGTTTACTTACTTATTTAATATCCAAAAAGTACCTAAAACCGAATCAGAGCACCCCACTATCCACGTGGTCTTGTCTGCCCTACTCCTAGAGTGTATATAAAAGAGCTTGGCGGCGCGGAGGAAGAGCAGTGCCCGCCCGCCGTAGGAAAGCGCAGGCACCGAGATCGAATGCTCGCCTTCGCATTCGATGATCGAATGCGAAGGCGAGCATTCGATCTCGGGTAACTACAACAGAAACTTGTAGCTGCAAGAATAAAAATTACTAAAATGAAAAACAAAGTTAAAAAAACAGGCAGCCAACATTAAAGCAGCAAAAAAATTAATAACGAATCCTGCTATCTAAGATGTCTTCGAAAATTGCTCAAGTACTGCAAAATTTTTGATGCAAATACAATGGCGTGAGGACCGAAAAAAGGAGAAAGGACGCCGTTTTCCATCACAGGAAAAAGTTGCTGCTCTATCGATTTTGAAGCAAAGTCCAAAGTATATCGATTCCTCAGGAAAATGTTTATTTTACCTGCTCAACAAACTATTATTAAATGAATACAAATGAGTAATTTCATGCCTGGAATTAATAATAATATTTTCTCACAACTAAAGACGTATTATTTTGTTCGACGAAATTTCACTCAAAGCCTATATTACATATCAAGAGAGAAAAGATAAAATATCAGGACTAGTTGATAATGGGCAGGAAAAAAAGGCAGAATTTGCAGATCACGCCCAAGTTTTTATGGTGCGTGGTCTAATGGATAACTATAAACAGGCAGTCTCTTACACATTATCATGAAGTGCAACCAAGGGAACTAAGTTGGCGAAACAAATAAAAGAGGTTGTGAAAGGATTGCAAGAAGCAGGGTTGATAGAGGTGGCCTCAGTATGTGATCAGGGAACCAATAATAGACAGGCTCTTAAACTTTTGATAAATGAGAGCAGAGGGAGAGGAACCAAAAGAAAATATAATTTTAATTAATGAACAAGAAGTCATTCTGTATGACCCCCCACACTCTTCAAAGGAATGATAAATAACCTTCTTGACAAAAATTTAGAATATTATACTAAAAAAGGCATAATAAAAAAACCGCAAAATGGTCTCGTTTACAATTATTATATAATGAAAACCCTGGTCACAAAGGTATCAATTTGATCCCTAAGTTGACTGAAAATCACGTCAACTCTGAAAAAATAAATAAAATGAAAGTGAAATTAGCGTCTCAAATATTTAGGCGTACTGTGGCATCTATCATGGGATATTTAGCAGGTAATGTTTGGTTCATTTTATGCCATTTCCGACGACATTTAAACCTGTAAAAAAATCTTTAAATTCGCAATAAAAAATATTGATGGTCACTTATATGTATCGGGATAAAATATTCTATCCTATTTCTCAAGTTGGACCAAATCGCGCACAGTGCGCAAAAATTCATTGAAAATCATTGAAAATCGCGGACAAACAATGTGCAACACTTCCCAATATCATCTCATAATCCATTCTTAGTGGATAATAATAAAAATCATAGATAGATAAGTTCTTACGTATGACTGCTAAATGACACCTTTTCAACTTTTTTTATAGAAGAGCAAAGGCAAACGAGCATGCGGCTGATCTGATGGTGACTACCGCCGCCCATGAACAACCGCAACACCAAGGGTTTAAGTTGCCGGCCTTTTAGAAAGCTCTTTTCTTAAAGGTCTCTAAGTCGCATCGAAATGTACGAGAAAGAAAACTCGTAGTAAAACGCAGTCGTGAACCGCCAAGCATCCAGATGGTGAAGATAGTATCGGCTTGGCGGCTGGAATTAATCCGAACAATTCCTTAGAGCACTCTCCGTGGTAAATTCGATAGAAAATGCAAAGGGATGCAACATCCCTGCGCAGTGCCAGTTTATCGAGCCGATCAGAAAGAACTCGGTCGTCGACGATTCGAACCGCTCTGCGCTGGATGCGGTCAAGTGGAAGGAGCCGGCACTGGGGTGCCCCGGCCCAGAGATGAGAACAGTATTCCATGTGAGGCCGAAATTGCGCTTTAAACTCTACAAACTCAAATATAATCCCTGTAACCCTTCTTAAGATAGTCAACAGAATATTATCTTTAGAAAATATTCTGGCTGTTTCACAAGATGAGTTATGGATAGTTTTTATTTCATGTTTCAGATAAGGACATACTGCCCACAGAAAGCAAGGACACGGCGGATCTTTTAATTTTCATGGATAACATATTCGATTTGATCAATGGAAGTAATAATGTAAAGAACAAATATGCTAAACCTTTACTTGGTCCAGTAACACCTAACGTTGTCCACCATAAAACATGGATGGAAGCCATACAAAATGTTGTTAAAGAAATTAATAGATAAACATAATATCTCGTCGGTATGGTTGCGGCACCTGAATCAGGATCCATTACAAAATTTCTTTAGCGCGGTGAGAAGCCATGGTTGTCGCAACAACATACCAAGTAGGGTACTTGTGATCAATTTGAATCAGCTTTCACCACTTTTTTAATTAACAATTTAAGCAGTGTCCACACCCAAGAGTAAACTGTGAAAAGGACTTGTGTAATGCTTTATATTCTTTCATACTCAACGAAAATACTAAATCCACGAGGCACGCAGCATTAATCTACAAAATATATTAGATATTAATTTAGGAAGTGTAGAGATAAAAAAATTACCCTAGGGTATTTGCACCACTAGAATATGTCAGTGGTTATATTTTGAAAAAAAAAAGCAAAAACAAACATTTATAAAAATTGCTCTATTTGTAATACTGTCTTTTGTAGTGATGATCAAATTGAATATATAAAATACAGAGAGTATGCAGGTCGACGATGGCTTTGTTCTACTAGTAATAAGTTAATAGAGCTAATTTCAAATTTACAAGATGTTATAAATCATATTGTTAAAAAAAACTTAGAAGCTATCTATTTAAAAGAAATTTTAAAGACTTCTATTGTCACAATGATAGATTTTGATTTTATACAATGTGTCTTTCATAAAAATAAAACAATTGAATATTTACTCAACAAGGTCATTCGTTTCATGACTTATAATTATTGTAAAGTAATAAATAGAATATTATCTGGGAGACATGATGTTGAGGACGAAGAAGATAAAGTGCAAGTAAAAGCTAAAAAAGTATAATAAAAATGTTTTAAAATCTTTCTATTATTTAACGGTACCTTTTGTTTATTTATTATATAGGCGTGGCTTGATTTTGTATTGCAAATACTCGTATTTTAGATTCTTTTAGATATTTTTATTATCTGAACGTTTGTAAGCTAACTTTTTTAGTGGTCTATACCAGCGGTCCTCAACCCTGGGGTCGCGAAAGATATTTATGGGGTCGCCAAAAGAGTCAAAAAGGTCCTGTATTTTTGAATTTTATTAAGGTTTATGCATAAAATATAACCTCTCTTTACATACACAATTACACAATGTCCTTAAAACGGAGAGAATCACCGCTCTCGCGCCCGCGCCTCCACCCCGATCGCTCTTTCTTCGTTCAGTCTGTCTGTTCAGTCAGTTCTATCCGCACTCATCGCCGCTTTGTCGATTGCAAATACATACTAAATTGATGTCAAAACACGGAAGATTACTTCTGTAGAAATTTTTTTTAGAAGATTAGTGTTCTCGTGGATAACCACGCACACGGTAAGTAACTGTGCACTCATACTTAGAAAATAAAGTGAGGCGTCATCGCAGCGCGGCCATGTTGGACGCGTGGGTTCAATAAACAAAACCAGCGCGAAATATTTTTTACGCTTCACTTATGTATTTTTAGGGTTCCGTTTGAGAAACAAGGAACCCTTATAGTTTCGTCAAGTCATGTTTGTCATTCATACAAACACTATGAAAAACAAAGTTACAACTAACATCCAGTCATATCATTACTTGCTACCACGGAACCCTTCATGGGCGAGTCCGACTCGCACTTGGCCACTTTTTTTGCTTGTTTATTTGTGCTTCGTTGAAAATAAATTTGAAGTAAATCCTGTTACCACGCGAGCATATGACGAAAAATCTAATATTAATAATTTGGAATACATTTTTTATTTATTAATACGTATTTATTATTGCAGTTAACAATAGATAAGTGGCTAATAAAACGCACATCTACAGATGCAGGTGGCGGAAGTCCTAATAACGCATCACAAATCAAAATAATTAAACACGTAGTTCTTGACAGCAGTGTCGCCTCAGATCCTACAATGACAACTACTGTTACGAGTAATATAAGTCGAGAGACCAATGCCACCACTTCAAGTACTAGTAGTGTTATTACTATCGATGAAAGCAGAGAACCATCTAGTTCCACTACTATAACTATTAGTCATAACAGCGATGATTGTAGTTCAACAGCCACATCTACCTTACACATTGATAGAGAGAGTGACGCTTCAACTTCAACTAAACAAGCAACAGCTATATCGGAGACAACTGGGAAGCGTTAACGCATCTTTAAAGAATCGTACATCCAGTTTGGTTTTAAATGTACAGTGTTGAATTTTGAACAACGTCCACAGTGCGTTGTTTGTTCGGAGGTTTTGGCAAATGAGAGCATGAAGCCGACCAAACTGAAAAGGCACCTAGAAACTAAGCATCCACAGTTAAAAAATAAAGATGAATCTTATTTTAAACGACTTGCCACCAAACTAAACTAAAGTCACAGCAGGTTGATTTCCAAAAATACACAACAGTTAACCAGAAAGCCTTACAAGCATCTTTCGAGGTTTCCTTTTTGATTGCCAAAACTAAAAAACCTCACAACATTGGCGAGACGCTCATTTTGCCAGCTGCAATGAAAATGGTTTCGATCATGCAAGGAGAAAAGTATGCCAATTTACTGAAAATAATTCCACTATCAAGTGACACTGTTCATCGTCGTATCAATCTACTTGCTGATGATATCAAAATACAACTTATAGAACGCGTGAAAGGGAGTCCCTATTATGCTATTCAGCTGGATGAAAGCACTGATGTAGCTAATGTAGCTCAACTTCTGATATTTATCCGATACCGATATGAAAACGACATATGCGAAGATTTGTTATTTTGTCAGGGATTAGAAGGAAGAACAACCGGTGAAGCAATTTTTAATGCAGTGAATACCTTTTTTGAACTCCATGACATAAAGTGGGAATATTGTGTATCTGTGTGTACAGACGGCGCAGCTGCATTGACCGGCTCCAAAACAGGATTCAAAGCAAAAGTAACTGAGATTGCACCTCACGTAGGCTTTGTTCACTGTATGATTCACCGTGAAGCCCTTGCAGCAAAACATTTGCAACCAGATGTAAATAAAGTTTTGGAACAAGTCGTAACAATAATAAATTTTATTAAAGCTCGCGCATTAAACAGGCACCTTTTCAAAATAATGTGTCGTGAAATGGGATCAGAATACGAAGATCTACTGTTACATACGGTGGTTATCGCGAGGAAAAACACTCCGACGTGTATTTGATCTCAAAGATGAAATCAGAATGTTTCTACTTGAATGGGAATCAAAGCTAGCGGAATATTTTTTGAATGAAAATTGGTTGGCAACAGTTGGCTATCTTTCGGATATTTTTGAAAAACTTAACGATTTAAATCAATCGTTGCAAGGGAAGAGTACAAATGTATTGATTTTAGCTAACAAAATAAAAGCTTTTTCTAGGAAAATAAGTTTGTGGATAGACGAAATCAGTGCTGAAAACTACGAGATGTTTGCATGTTTGGAAAAATTTTCTGAAGAAAACAATATAAAGCTCAAAGAAGAAATTAAAACCAAAATCATGATGCATCTTACAAACCTTAAGCAAGACTTGGAAATAAGATTCCCAGATACGTCATACGGCGACCAATGGATAATTAATCAATTCACTTGTGATCTTAACACTGTGAAGATGAACTAAAAAGAAAAGGAGCAGCTGATCGATTAAATATCCGATGAAAGCCTTCGATCTATTTTCAAAACCACGGATCTATCCAAGTTCTTGATAATGACGGAAAAGGAATATCCACTGTTATTCAAAACATCTCTGCTGAAATTGCTGCCATTCGCACCTACATACCTTTGCGAGACAGCTTTCTCTACATTAACTGCTATAAAAACAAAATATCGTTCCAGACTTAACGTAGAACCTGATTTGAGGGTGTTTGATTCTGATAATATATCACCAAGAATTAATATACTGACTGCAAGTGTGCAAGCACAAGGTTCACATTAGATTGTAAGGTTACGTATATGTACCTTCTTTTTTAAATAAAATATTAAAATAATTGCTTGTCTCATTTAATGCCATCATAAATATTACTCGTATGTTAAATGCATATTTTCTAGTTTGCTCTAATATTACTGTCCAAAATAAATAAACTCTTCAATATAAATAATTTACGAAATATAAAACAGCTAACTTAGTTACCTGAACCAACCTTTGCACTTGTTAACTTAGTGATTTTTTTTTCTGGGGTCGCTCATAACTCTTTTTTGAATTTCGGGGTCGCAATATCAAAAAGGTTGCGGACCGCTGGTCTATACTATTTCATAATTACCTGAAAACAGCTTAATAACTAATCCGTTTTCACAGGTAGTTATTCATTCATATGATGTTGATTTTAGTGATCATATCAGTAGTAGCCGTGGCCGTGGACGAGGTAGTGGACGAGGTAGATAGCGACGACGACGACGAGGGCAGGTTCCACTCGAACCGTAAGTATCCACACACTCACATGCCACGACATTATATTACTCATCTAAGGCAATAAAATGTAAAAGATGGACTTTTTACAGTGCAGAGCTGACACAATTGAGAGAGCTCACACAACGTCCTCTCGCTGGTATGCCGGCAGCAGTGCGTAATGAGCTTGCAGGAAAAAAACGTGTTGGCGGCTTACAGCGAGTCCTCTTACCTGATGCGCCTCCGAGAAAGAGACTAGCTCGGTAATTTTCAAAATATTTTGCATATTATCATTTCAATATACAGAATGGATCACACATATAGGCAATAAATGAAGCCACATACTTGTTATCGCCTTTACTGACGATATACAAAAATGAACGTAATCGGTCCAGTAATTAATTCAAAAAAATAGAGTTTTAATTTTAAACAAATTTGCACTCTCTATAGAATTGGGTCACCAAGTCAATGATTCAATTAACTTGAATACTTGAACATTAAAAAGCGATGTTGCCACGCAGTGCAAACTATTACGACGTGATGTACGTCGACAGCGGTGTCTTTTGGCGGAGTCCATAAACAAGCGGCACGAGGCACGCGGTGTTCTTCAAAGGCAACGGCGCAAGTGCGCGCGCGCCTGTGTCGTAGAATAGGACACCTGTTATCGACCATTAGCTTTTTTTGAAAAGGAGTGATGATCGAAAAACATAAAAAATAAATATAAGAAATCATTATAAAAAAAAATGTTAAATACTTAGGGCATGGTGTTTTTAGAATTATCGTGCTGTTATGATAATTCTAAAAACACTACGAGCTAAGTATTTAAAGCTAAACTTTAAAGCTTTTTTGTTTGTTAGTGTGCTCTTGTAGATTTAGAGATAATAAATTATTTAGACATTATAAAAAACCCATAAAAACAACCAATTAAAAAAGTCATACTTACTTTGAGAATTCACAAGATGCCTTAGGTATTTTCAGTGATCTTTCCAAGGCTTTCGATTGTGTTCATCATGAGACATTAATCAGGAAACTACAACATTACGGTGTAAAAAAATTGGCGCTTAGACTTATTACTTCATATTTAAGTAACAGAACTCAAAAAGTCATGATCAATAGTAAAGGTTCCTCCGGATCAGTAGTATCAATGGGTGTTCCTCAGGGCTCGATTCTTGGCCCGTTCCTCTTTTTAATCTATATTAATAACTTACCTTATCTTGTAGGGGACAATCACGATATAGTATTATTTGCTGACGATACCTCTTTAATTTTCAAACTCAAACGGCAGTTAATTAATTATGACGATGTAAATAATGCTCTATCGAAATTGGTACATTGGTTTAACGCCAACAATATTCTTTTAAACGGTAATAAGACAAAGTGTATTAAATTTACAATACCTAATGTAAAACATTCGAATACCAATGTGCTGTTAAATGGGGAGGAGTTGTCTTGTGGATGCTACTGTTTTTCTTGGTATTATTATTGACGCGAAACTTCAATGGAGCCCCCATATATCTAAATTAGCAAGCAGACTTAGTTCTGCAGCATATGCTGTAAGAAAGATTAGAAGTCTCACAGATGTTGAGACAGCTAGATTAGTGTATTTTAGTTACTTTCATAGCGTCTTTCATAATGTCTTATGGGATTTTGCTATGGGGTAATGCGACTGATATTGAAGCTATATTTGTTTTGAAAAAGAGAGCCGTACGGGCGATTTATAACCTAAATTGTAAAGAGTCCCGCAGAGAAAAATTTTAAGAAGTAAACATATTAACTTTGGCATCGCAATATATTTATGATAATGTAATGTATGTGCATAAACATAAATAGCTTTAATAAGAATAAGGATGTGCATACTTTAAACACTAGGAACAAACATAAGCTTGTAATGCCAGTTACGAGACTCCACAGAATCAGTAATTCATTTATGGGGCAATGTATACGCTTTTACAACAAAATCCCAGAACATATTCAAAGTTTGTTAATAAACAAGTTTAAAAGTTTTATTAAAGAAAAACTGTACAAAAAGGGTTATTACAATATCAAGGAATACATGAATGAAAATAACCCTGGGCATAAGGTGATCGCTACTATGCTGGTTCTATGAAAAATCATTTAAAATTTTTATAAATGAAGTTATTGTTAAGTGTACTATGTTTGAAAAAAAATGTCCCGCTGGGTTTCTTGCTGGTTCTTCCCAGGACTGGGGTGTTTTCCGAACCAGTGGTAAATAAAAAATGACTTTCAATAGGTATTATGTAATAATCAATATTGAATAAAAAATTATTCTATTCTATTCTATTTCCCGTTTCCTAGGAAGTCACAAAACGGTAGTTTCGTAAGTTCAATTGTACAAAAATAAACTTTTTTTTTAACAATCAATAACTCTTCAATTGTTATCAAATCAAAAATTAAAATTACTTGTGTCACTACACTTAGCATATACATATACTTATAGTACCTATGTAACTGAATTGTGTGAGGCAGTAGCAATATAGCCGGCGCTGATGTAACACGCGTGTATATAATAAACTGCTATTTCTTACAAGGACTTTATCTCATTTCTATCACACTACACGGACATTAGTTAAAGTGGTGACACCGACGTGATTTGAACACGCAACCTTCTGATAGAATTTAAATTTTTAAAATTTTAAATTTTTTCTAATTCTCCGCAAAACACACTACCATATCACTGACGCGACGCTCGCCGGTTCAAAGCTCAGTATGAATACTAAGAAAACGCTAAAGCAAGGAAAGACGACAAGAGGAAAGTCGAAGTTATTGAAAAACAGAAAGGTGGCGAATTGGTTTCAGATGGAAAAGACGTAAGTGATGAGGCCGAGAAAGGATGATACCAAGAGTACCGCTCGAATTGGGGATAATGAACTGAAGGAAGAGCTTACCCTTTCTAATTCAGCTGCTCAGGTGATAGCTTTAACTCTTGAAGCCATGCGTACCAGTCTCCCTTGACACTGGTACGCTTGGCTTCAAGAATCCTTAGTCTCTGTCACGTCTTGACCTTACCGGATCACTTGGCGTCAACCCAGTGGAATCTAATATCATGGATAAGTCTGATATTGGAATTGAATAGCTGATAATTCCGGATTTTTACTAGTGCCAGTTCCTATTAGTACCTTTGACAAAGCCCAGAACCCATCGGAGATGATAAACTCTATTATCAAGTCAGTTTCCCAGGCATCCATCAAAGCATTAAAAGTAATAAAGGGCCTTGAGTACGTGCAGTGCGATAATAATCTCGTTCCAGATGATATTACGCTTGGATTAGACACCACCGCTGCTGATGTAGTTGTTACTTCAAATAACAATGAGTGGCGACGTATCCTGGCGCAAAGCACTTATGTCATAAGGGAAGGCGTTCGAGTCTCTGTGTATGCAATCCTTCCTGATTGGTTCCGTCCCATCCACGAAAGGTTTTCTTTGGAGATGTTAGAAATGGTCACCAGTCTATCCAATTCTGAGCGGTTTAGGTACATCAAACAGAGATTTCGCGCTATCGCGAGGCGTAGAGGAGTGCTCCCCATACATAGTGATCCCCGCTTGCCGGACTTTGCAGTAATTATAACGTACACCTCACCGACTAGAAATCTCCCTGCTTTAGTCACGTTATTTCCTATGTTCAATTTTATTTCCGTATACGCTTGCATGGCCATTATACAAATGCGCGCTAAGCTGTCCGTTCCGCCCCCAAATTTATTCTCCACTTTAGGTCTGTCCATTAATAGAGGATCCGTGATTAAGGAGATATTATCCCGACAGTTGAATCCCGATATTCACGCGG